AACTGAAAGTGTTGGATTTCTAGATGACTTTATAAGAGGAATCTTCGCTCGCTCTTCTTTGCAATGTTGCTTCAGTTCATTGAAGTCTGTGGGCATTTGTTAATGCACAGCTCTCTTAAGGTGTAACCACTAAAAGCAGCAGCAGTAGAACTGAGCACAGTCCAGGTTCTGCACTGTAAGTGTCAGGTACACCAGCATGGAAAAAGTAAAACCAGTGGAGGTGAATTGTGTATGAAATATGGAGATTGAAGACAGTTCCACTGAAAAACTGTTCATCTTTTTAGGTGTCAGTCAGAGCCTAAGTAATGAATGGAGCAAAAGAATCGAGTACTGTGATGTTCACTGCTATACTGGCTCACTGTTGAAGTGGCAACAACTTTCACTGTCTAATGCAAACATAGACAGAGTGCTGAAAGTCCCTGAGTCAGGTAAAACATTTTGTTCAACATTTTATTTTTAAAAGTACCAGAGACACATATGCAAGAATATGACAGGACTGATTGAATAGGTCTGAGCTGATGTCTGAGGGCTTGTTGACCAAATCCAGGTATGTTTAGAGCTTCCTCTCCTACTCTAGCGACAGGTTGGAATTATGATGCCATGAACTCAGCCTTCAGAAGTCCTCAGACTTACGTAGGATCTTGAGGGCTTCTACCATAAATAGCCAGACCCAAGACGAGTTGGGAGAGGGGTCGGTGGGTGGAGGGACAAACAGCTTCCAGCAGAAATGCCCTTCTGAGTTTCAGAAACTACACTAATCTCCTCTTTCCCTCCCATTCTGTATTTTTGCATCTTTCTTCCTTAATAGTTTTAAGCCCCTTTAAACTCTCTGTCTGCACCTCGTCAAGTTTTGTGACTCTGGACTTTTTCTCAACCTCGTGCCTTCAGAGCATATCTCTATAATCCACCCAGATCTCTTCAACCATCCAAGACACCCCACCCCCACCCCAAAGAAGTTTGTCCGATGATGTATCCACTGACTTTGAAATAGTTTCTGTGAACTGGGCCATGCGTGTACAGTATGTTTCCGTCACCTTGGAAATTGTAAACTAACTCACCGGGCACTTAAAATTGCTCCTTTGTCAAGAGTACTGATTGCTTAAAGTGAAAAAATGTCCAGTCACAAAATATGACTGAGTAAAATACTGTAAATACAAAAGCACATTACTGCAATACTTCTCCGCTGAGTTTATGAAATTGTGACACCATTATCCCTAAACCAAGACTCTTTAGTCATCCATCCACATGACACACAATAAATGTGCCCAGAAGTAGCCTATTAGCCTAGGTGTCAGATGAACTGGAGCCAGTATAAACAGTAAAGCCCACCGTACAGTAAATATCTGACTGTATTCTGTTATTTTTAGTGTGAGGGATTCCTCTTTCACGAGACATTACATTTCTATCCCTCTCCCAGTCAGCTCAGGCCCTTCCCTTCTCCCATCATGCCCAAATAAAGCGTCCAAATTCCATGTGTGTGCTTCTTCTTCTCCCTGTGAAATGTTTATAAGACCCTCGCTTAGTTTGTGTGTGCGTGTGCACATGAGGGAATGTGATTGTGCATAAATGAGCACATCTCCTGGCACGCAGAATTAATCCAGATTTCTATATTCTAACAGGCTGTTTATGGTAATCTACTGTGATTTGATAATGTTTTATTTGCTTTCAGGTTAGGAGTGTCAGCTTTTACTATGTTGTGAGAGTTTAAGGTTGTGCTTTAACCAGTTCATGAGGTCCATTATGATGTTTCTCTACTCTTTTTATTGGACTTTCAGTAATCTCAGCATTAAGCCTGTTACTGATGCGCTGAACTCAACAGGTAGCATTTTCATAAACTACAATATTATTGTTATATGTTCTTCTCATTGTCCCTGTACTTTATTACATTTAGCATTTTACATTTTTACACTTCTACAGCATAATT